CCATCCATCCATCCATCCATCCATCCATCTATCATCCATCCATCCATCCATCTATCATCCATCCATCCATTCATTTAGCCATCCATCCATCCATCCATCCATCCATCCAACCATCACCCATTTATCCATCCATTTATCCATCCATCTATTCATCTACAAAGTATCATCCATTTATCCATCCATCCATCTGTCTATTATCCATCCATCCATCCATCCATCCATCTATCCATCCATTCATCTTCCATTTATCCATGCATCCATCCATTATCTTTATCCACTTTTTCCTTTTTGGGTTGCAGGGGTCACTGGTGTCCATTTCCAACCATCACTGTGTGAGAGGTGGGGACACCTGGGCAGGTTTCCACTCCATCCATGGCCTCTACCCATTAGATAGATATCCTCCTTAGCTGTTTTTTTTTTTAAACATTCATGTTATAACAGAGGCACAGTGGGTGGAAGAAAACACAAATACCTACAACTGGATGGAAAAACTGCAAGAACTGAAGAGATTGTAGAAATAAGAAGTTTGCAAAAAGTTGTACAGTTCAGCTGAGGAGTCAGAGTGATGTCATCAGACTGCAGGTTGAACATCCTGAGGTCAAATCTGGAACATCCTCCATGGTGACCTGTGATTATGTCCAAAGTGTTTAAGATGTGAAAACAGCAGCTTGGTCATTAAAGTCCAACTTCCTGTGACCCGTTTAAACTCTGAATGATGGTTCTGAAGTCTGAGCTGGAGGTCCAAACAGGACTGGATTTAACTGAACACCACTGATGTGTGTGGAGACATTTTTCACTGGTTTAGTGGATTTTATCTTAGTTTTATGAAATCCTGCTTCTGTCCTTGATGGGAGCGCTCATTAAATGACACACACAGCGTTGGTTGTTGTTTATGAGCTTGTCCGACCGGTCGCCCTGCGTCACCGCCTCACTCTCTGGTTCTGACGGTTGATGGTGGCAGTGCAGAAGATCAGGTGTCTGTGCTGCACTCTGAGTGGGTGAGGTGCTCAGGTGTTGCTGCAGGGTTAGGGGTGTGTGTGTGTGTGTGTGTTTAACATGTGTTTCATAGACGCACCCACATAAACACATGTGCTTGTTACAAACAAAAACAAAAAAAACATCAGGTAACTCCATGAACTCACTGTTGCTATGGTTACCCTGCCTTCACGCCATGCTAGAATGGCTGTTATTTCTGTCACCATGGCGATGGGCAAGTAGATTTGTAAAGAAGAAGATTTAATAACTGTTTTACATCGGGTGTTCTTCTCGACACAACCTGGGCTTGAACCTGTGGCCTCAGGATTATAAGACTGCAGCGATGAACACTGAACTACCATGAATCACCTTGAAATGGCAAAAATCTCTATTTCTTTACAGTTAACTATGATCATATACTGTATTTCTATATATTTGTTTTTCATGCATAAATCTGCTTCAGCTATTTATTAAAGTAGAATTGTTATAAAATAAACAACAACAAAACAACAAAAAAACAATAAACTTGTTACAAGAATATTAAGTCTTTTTAATAATGTCTGTTTTTAAATAGTTTAGTTTGGATGTGTGAATGAAAAATTAAATGAGCTTTTAAATCATATAGTTTTTTTCTTCTTCCAGCTGTTCCCTCCTCAGGAGTCTCCACAGAGAGTCCTCCTCCTCCATCTCACTCTGTCCTCACTCCAACCACCTTCATGTCCTCTCTAACTGTATTTCTCCTCTTTGTCTTTTTCCCCGCAGCTGCATGTCAAACAACCTTCTACCAATATACCCACTGTCCCTCCTCTGGACATGTCCAAACCATCTCAATCTGGTCTCCCTATCTTTACCTCCCAGTTGTTCAACCTGTGCTGTACCTCTGATGACCTCATTACTAAACCTATTTTCTGAAGTTTGCATGTTCTCTTTGAGCACACGTGGATTTTCTCTGGGTACTCTGGTTTTTCCCCCACTGATTAAAAACCTGCATCTTAGGCTAATCCATCCATCCATCCATCCATCCATCCATCCATCCATCCATCCATC